ACTGACTAGTGATATTGAGCATCTTTTCATGTATATCTTTAGTGAAGTCTATGTTCATATCTTTACTCATTTTTTGATTGAGGTACTTGACTTTGGAGGCTCTGGATATAATCATTTGTAGGTTATACATTTTATAAATTTTTTTCTCTAGTCTGCTGCTTGATATTCCATTTTCTTTCATGGTGTCTTTTGACGTGCTAAAGTTTTCAATTTTGATAAACTATAATTTATCATATTTTTAATGGAGCTTGATTTTTGTGTTGTATCTAGAAACTTTTGCCTATTCTGAGGTATCAAAATTTTTATCTTATAACAGTTTTATTGTTTTTGCAGTCACATTTATACCTGTGATCCCTTTGAGTTCATTGTTATATATGGTGTGGAGACCTAAGTTCATTATTTTTTGAATGTGGGTATCAAATTGTCCCAGCACCATTTGTTAAAGTGATCCTTCTTTCCTGGCCTTTTTGTCAAAAATCAATTGGCTATAAATAAAAAGATTTATTTCTGAACTCTAAATTCTGTTCCATTGACATATGTGTCTATCCTATGTCAATGCCACATTGTTTTGATGACTATAACTTTTATAGGACATTTAGAAATTGGGAAGTGAAAGTCTTCCAATTTTTTTTTCCTTTAAAATTATTTTGGCTATTCTAGGTGGTTGGCATTTTCTCATAAATTTTAGGACTTGCTCTAAATTCATATGTGATATTTAGCCTAGGCCTGCCTGAAGCCTAGGCATTTCCCATTTGTATTTTCCTTTTGTGCATTTTTAAATTGATTCTATCCTTGAAATCAATAGCTTTTTCTCCAATATCTCGTAGCTTTGAGAAGCAATACCTAATATCAGTATGTGTTTCCCTTGCTTTGCTAGATGGAGTTATAAGGACTGGCCCTTGCTTAGGCAGAGTTTAAATTAGGATTTGGCACAAAGTTCTGCAATAGGCAGCACCTTCCCTTGGGTCATGGTTTTTTTTTAACTGCAACCCATAAAAAATAAGATATTTTGCACCACAGTCCTGTTGATAACTCACAGAGACACACATTTTATTCACAAGAGCAAAGTTTCACAGTGTTTAGCCTTACATGTTAATAACACTTATTGTATATTATTCAATCTGTTTTATTTCTTCGACAAACAGCCAAACTGATTTCACAACCCATTAATGGGTGATGATTCACAATTTTAAAAAATAATTGGATAATATTCTCAATCTCTTTCAATGTTCAGATTTAGGTTAATCTCAAGATGGCCTTCATGAGACAGCTTCAAGCATATGATTTCTTTGAATTTAATTGGGTAAACATGCTAATTTTTAAAAATAGAAGCTAGGGAATGTGTTGTATCACAGATCTACCTAAAACTTGTGTGTTGTCCTGGCCAGTATAGCTCAGTTGGTTGGAGCGTTGTCCTGGGCACCAAAAGGTTGGGGCTTTGATTCCAAGTCAGGGCACATGCCTAGGTTGCTGGTTCAATCCCTGGTGGGGGCACATATGGGAGTCAACTAATAGATGCTTCTCTCTCACATCAATATTGCTTTCTCTAAAATCAATAAACATATTTTCATAAAATTTTTAAAACTTGTGTGTTAACCTTGCTTTTCTCTTTCCCTTTTTCAGTTCATTTTTTTTTCTACAACTATTTGTAGAGTGTACACTTCAGACCTTGTACAGGTACTGAGGACTCAAGGATAAGTAAAAGCAGGCATACATTCTCATAGCACAGTGGGAATGAAGGTAGTTCATCCAAAAGCACATAGATATTTTTAAATCCCAATAAGTTCTGTGAATAAGAATTTGGCATTGCCTATGAGCCAGGATTTAATATGGACTATGAGAGATGTCTCTGTGGGAAGTCACCCTTGGGCTGAGACTAAAAGATGAATAGGAAACAACCAGGCAGTGGACAGCATATGTGTGCAGCGTGGGTCACACCACGTCACAAGCTTCTAAGACTAGAGGAAGGCATGAACCCCTAGTTGAGAAATGAAAGGAAAAGACCTTAAAGATAAGTCTGGAAAAGTAAACAGGGCCAGAGAGTACAGAGTCCTGTAGACCACGGAAGGAGATGAAAGAGTTTTACAAGGCTGAATAACATAAGACTCACATTTTAAACATATAACTGTGGTGTGTAGAATGGATAGGAGAAAACTATGAATAGCCTATTGCAATGGTCTGGGTCAAACACGGTAGAGGAGGGTGTGGTAGGATGAGGGTCTTCTGTTCCTTCCTTCCTTCCTCCTACTGAGCACACATTGTAATGCCTTTCATGTGCACTGGGACCAAAGTTATTCATTTTGGAGCTGTCAACTAAGAAATAAATAAACCACAAGAGATTTTTTCTTTAAAAAAAATATCAGAGTATGATATGAACTTGCATATTCCAGTTATCACCCAACCGTGTTAGACCCACATATTTTACTGGCTACAGTTCTGGAAAATAAAATACTTATCTTCTCTCCCTCTGAGAGTTTCCGATATGAGATAGAGAGTTTCAGATCTGATGTGCTAAAGGAGAAAGATGATTTTAACAGCCAAACCATGATTCAATAAATTTATATTCATTGGACAAGGGAAGCATGTTGCCTCTTGCCTTAGCTTCTTTTTACTTTGATTAATAATTCCCTGCACAGTTGAACATTGTTGTTATCTTGCCACAATGGGCATCTTTTTCAGTCTGTTCTTTGAGTAAAAAATAGCTTAACCCAAATCCCAACAAAAAAGTTTGTTCATTCGCGATGAGTTTGATAAAACCATTGTCCCCGCTTCGAGTTAAGTGGCGTCATGGGAGAGAGTCCTCTGGTCTGTCGCCTGATTTCTGCCCTCTACCGGTCTCCAGTGGGGAGCTGAAGGCGGTCGCAGCTGCTCTGAATGCCAATCCCGTCTGCATAGGCTGTCACTGTTGGCATCTAAATATGTTCATAGGTGGCACTCCTTTTCTCTCTTTTTTTGGTACCCAGTCCCCACCCACCTCACCATCCCTACCCCATTCACTGGCCATCCTTAAAGATTGTTCATATCTCATAATCAGTCCTGGTTTCTATTATGTTAGCCAAGGGGACCCTAAGATACGACAGGTCCCATGCATGATCACGTATTAATTATTACTGAAAGAACCGTGAAACCCGGCAACTATAATTTTTAGTGGTGCAGCTGGAAAGATCGTGAACCACATAGCTCAGGCCCAGGTACCTTTCCTGGTGCCTGTTAACCAAAGACAGAGATGACCAGCCACTCACTGCATCGAGGTGAAGAATATAATTTCCTAAAAGGCAGCACCAAAGATGTGTTTCTCAGATTTTCACAAAGTACTTCCTGTCTTTCTGTCTAAATTGCCCCCAAGGGCTTAATTTCTGACACCTTCTGTGTGACTCAGTCTTCCGTGGTAAACACGATTTTATCTACTGAACAAGTAAACATCAGGACAGTTATTCCTCATTAGAATGTTACTGCCTCAAAGTAATGCTTCACAAAATTTCTTTTTTTTTTTTCATTTGTTTTTAAGCCCCTTCCTTATCCCTCAGTACAATGATCATTATAAAGAAGAAAAATACTAAGTACAGTTCTCCCATTTGTATTAGGAAGCAAGTACAGATCTACATTTGTTTCCTAAGCAAAGACTCTGTCACTGCGAATTTGTTTGCATCTCTGGACTCTGCTGGCAGACGCTTAATTCTTAGACTCCAGAAAAACTTGAAAGTGTGATTTCAGTGACATGATGTCAAAAGAAACATGTCAAAACAGTACTGATACTGAGAGTTCTATTGTGATCATAACTCGTGTCTCTGCTTTGAGAGAAACAAAGCAAATTGAAGCAGCAGGAATGCATTTTTACAGGAAGTGCTTTGCAAACAGCAGAGGCCAGATCTGCTCCCCTGTGGCTCATTTCCTCTTCCGATCTCTCCTCCCATCTGTGCTCCTTGAATTGTGAGGCCCACGTCTGATCATACATCCCGCACAAAGCCGGTGTCCGGGAGACTCTGAATGGGCTCCTTTCCCGGGACCCGCCCTCGGCCTCCTCCTCCAGGCTCAAGCTCCCGCATCATACCTGTGATTCCAGAACCCCAAAGTGTTTCCTCTCCCCACTCACACTCTGTTCTTTCCCGTGTCTGTGCTTAACACATGTTACTTTTCTCTTTCAAATCTGACTTTCAGACTGGGAGAACCCTTCAGCTCAACCATCTGTCGGGTGCTTGACCTTGTGCAAGTTACTTAAACCTCAGTGAGCCTTGATTTCCTCATTTGTAAAATGGAAGCATAAGAGGAGCCTTGTGGGACCAATAGGGTAACAATGTTCAGTGCTTCTGAACCTGCCCCAGGGAAGGCACTCGGTAGAAGTATCAGCGGTATTATCTTTATTTTTTTAGTTATGATTATTGTCACCATCCTTTAGGATTTAGCACAGGTTTTACCTCTGCTGAGCAGCTGTCCCTTACCTCCTCATCCCAAAGACTGGGTGAATTACTTCCTTGTACTATGCACTTTCTTCTTTATTGCCCCCTTTATATCTTATTTGATCATTAATGCAGGTACATGACTTCTTTTAAATGTTGCTGGGTAATGAAGTTGTTAGCATGGAAAAATGGGCATGAGAATGCTTCAAGGAGGCCTCATAATCCACATTTTATGGACCTCCTGTAACAGTGTGGTTAGGATATGCTTGTTAATGATAAGTGAATAAATGGGGTTTTCTTTATTTCCCTGGCTTAATAGCTTTGTTGGCTGTTAACGAGTACCTATTATATGCCAAGCATGACTTAGATATTATACTTTATTCTTTACTATGAGCGACTGTGCTAGATAATTCTTATTAGCCCTATCTTATCCATGTGGAAACTAAGGGTCCAGGGTCCTAGAGTGAGTGGCAGACCATCTACTCCCAAAGCCTGACCTCTTAGCTCAGCAGCGCTCTGCTCTGATCTGTAGGGTGTCGTTTGCCTCTGGGACTCTTCAGTGTGTAACTATTATATACATTTTCATTTCTAATTCTATCCCAGGTACTCCTTCCAAGATGAGGAAGACATGTTCATGGTAGTGGACCTCCTGCTGGGCGGGGACCTACGTTACCACCTGCAGCAGAACGTCCGTTTCCAGGAAGGCACTGTGAAGCTCTTCGTCTGTGAGCTGGCCATGGCCCTGGACTACCTGCAGAGCCAGCGCATCATTCACAGGTCAGTCGAGTCCAAGGGGACAGCCTTGGCCCGAGTGCACAGGAGAGGATTCCCCACCTGCTGCACTCAGCAGGCCCTTGTTGGACATGGCATTTAACCCTCAAGTAATTCTTACTACAGTCCCTTGAGGTGCGTTTCTGTCCTTATTCTGCAGACTAAAAACAACAAAACAACTAAGCACATTGTGTCCAAGACCAGAAATCAATGAATATTGGTGCTGTCTTGTAACTAAGCTTAGATGAAGAGGAGAGAGATGACGTACAGGAACTTGGCAAATATGTAATGAGTTAATTGAAATAGAAATGAAGGAAATTCATGGGAAGGAAGAAAATTCCCTGGGAAGGACGTCGGAGTCCTAACATCTGCCTGGCGTCCAGGCTGCGCTGGGTCTCTGCTGTGTGTGCTGTAAAGATGTCAGCAGGAGCGACATGTTTCACTCACTGGGGACGCGTGTGTTGAGTAAAGATAGACAAATCGTGTTGAGTCTTGAACAATGGAGGGGGTTAGGGGAGCTGACCCCCTACCCAATTGAAAACTTGCATATAACTTTGACTTCCCCAAAACTTAACAGCCATCCTTCAGTATCCTCAGTTTCTGGCATGGCACGGGGCGGGGGGGCAGTGAGGACTGTTTCTAGGTGCCCCTCCCCCACCCGGTGGATATCAAAATTCACAGATGCTCAAGTCCCTTAGATAAAATGGCAGAACAATGCCTACAGTCTGCTCTCTGGGTCCGAGGATTCCCAACCATGGATCGAAAATACTCTTTTTGATCCATGGTTGGTTGAATCCCCAGGTGGCAGGCTTGGGTATGAGAATGGCCGACTGGGTATTTACTGGGAAAAACCCACGTGTAAGTGGACCTGTGCGGTTCAAACCCATGCTGTTTCAGGTTCAACTGTAACAAAGCAGCCATGAACCCAAACACACAATAGAGGGAAAAAGATAATATTTTACATTTGTGAAGAAATTGGTGGTATTAGTGATGATTTCCTCAATATCTCACTTGATCTCTGTAATAACGTATGCTCAGTGATCAGAGCACATAGAGTTAGATCAGCACTAAACACGAAAAAACCATGCTTAGGGGACATTAAACTATCATCGAGGTTACTGATAAGAAGTTTGAACCTCGTCACCATCAAAGCAGCTATTATTTCCTGACATGCCAGGCACTGCTAAGTACCTTCATATGTTCTGTTATTCAATTCTCAAAACTGAAGGAGGGCTCCGCGTGCCATTATAGTGTCCCCACTACACAGATGAGAACACTGTGGCCCAAAGATTTGCCAAGGACAAACCGCTGGCAAATGGCACTGCCAGGACCTAAATTCAGTTCTTACTGATCCTAGAGTCAGAGCTCGCTCGGTCTGCGACCCCAGCTTGCACTCATTACACACATGAAATAGATGCACTAATTAATTCCACATCACTAAATGAAAAATGGACACATGGGACTGCCGCTGTCGTCTCTAATCCTTGAAGACTTTGTTGAGTTTTTAAGTATCAATACAGTGAGACAATTAGGACTCATTTAGTGAAAATTTGGCTCGATAAAACCTTTGCCCGACAGGAGTTAACATTTACGTGGAATTTATCTGCATTGGTGTGGAGCCTACGGATGAAGAGGTAACATAATCACTTATAGGTTCTCTGGGCAGGTGCCATGGGTCAATTTTTTTTTTTTCCGTCTTGTCTCTGGACACTTAGTTATTATTTAATTCCCTGTCTTTAGACGGGTCTACTTGTATTGGAAATGTACTCTTCGGAAAAACAGATAAATGGAAAGCAGGCCCGTGAATCACGACATAGGCTCTGAGAAGTAAATTTACACACCTGTCGTTTTGTCAATAACCGGAGTCCTGTTCCCCAGCGACCTTTCTCTCAGACCGGCTCCCAGGCGGGTGCCTGGTCTCCCTCCCTCGCCGCCGTCCGAGAACGTTTCCGTTTGTCGCCGGCGGAGTCCCGCTTCGTGCCTCCACGCTCGCTCAGCCTCCCCCAGGCCGTTGCCCCACAGTCTGCTTTGGTTGCTGACGTTACAGTTCTCAGAAAGGAGACAGGAACCATGGGAAACCAAGCCTTTAAGCTTCTCCTTTCTCTGTTTGAATCTGGGTCCTGTGTCCTCTTTCTCTGGGGTTCATGTCCCCTGTCATTGCAAGTCAGGGCGCTCTGAGCGCTCCTGCTGCATGCTTACAACTGCGTTCCTAAAGGAATTCCAGAGGGAAAAACGCAAACCGAACCAAAACAGAAAAACTGATGTGACTGGTACCGTGAAGGAGCTTACTAATACTCAGATGTCATTGTTCTGATCTTCTCTTCCTGTTTATTTCTCCCATTATAATTTTGCCACTCGAATAAGAAACCAAGGATTAATTTTCTGTGCCTTGCCCTTTACACACCCACAGTTGTTACTTTGTGCCAGTCTTTAGAAAGGCCTCTTTATACTGACGTGCTCCTCCTCATGGCAAATGAATGGAAGGCAAACACAGTGACATTTTAAACACTGTGTTAAATGAGTGGCATCCTTCTGGTATCAAACAACAATTCAGGTGAATTTCTATTGCTTGCAAGGCTCCCTTATCTCCTCCAGTACATAGCAATAGAGCATCTTGTGCCTCTCCTGAGGAGCTGTGACATTTATGATGTGTAATTAAGTAATGTCCGCTTGCTTTACTAGGCTGTAACCGCAAGGAGTTAGGGCCACGGGTGTTTTGCTTGTCACTGTATAATCAATGTGCAGCAAAAATATGAGGGAATGGATACTGCATAAACCACACAAATGACCAAAGTTACAAAGAGCAAATGCGAAATTAAAACACAGGACATGAAAAGCAAGCATTTTGAGACCCACCTTGGTCTTCACGTTGGGCAATCCCGTCATCCATCCTTCAAACCAGAGTACTCCTGAGGGCGAAAGGAGTCGCTGTTACCAATGATGCTGGGACAACAGGCAAAACTCAAAAATATTCTGGGAAAACCTGGACACATATCAATATCATTAAGGCTCTGCAAGACAGTAGTGACCAAATAGGCATGTTAATTGTGAGAGAGCACTAACAACTGTGGCTTTCTGCCCTCAGTGTTACGGGTATCAGTTTGAAGGGCTATCAATTTGAAATAGTGTCAAATGGCTTCAAAAACACGTACACGGGAACATTAGCAGTGACTGCTTGTCTGTGGCATTTAAAGGGTAATGATGGTGGCATTCTGAGGGTGGGGCTCGTGGGGCAGAGTTAAAAGCATGAAGAGCAACACGGAAGAGAGAGAGGTTTCTGAATATGTAATTCTCTAAAATCTTTTTCTTCAAAAGAATCGACCAGGCAGCTTGGGGTCGGGGTGGGGGTGGGGGTTGGAGGAATGGAGGAATCGAACACAAAGGAAAAGAACTCAGGGTCACAGGCAACAGTGTGGTGATTATGGGGGAGGGGGTTTGGAGGGGAAGTGGAGATGGAAGAGAGTATAAGGGAGATAAATGGTAATGGAAACAAAAAACAATAAAAATAAACTATAAATATATTTTTAAGAAATAATAAAATCAAATCAATAAGCATGTTCTTGGGTGAGGAAGGGAAAAAAAAAGAATCAGCCAGTTCATGCTGGAGTTGATTGACTCTAAAATAACAAAACCAAACATCTCTCAGCCAGTTGAAAGACTGGATTGTAAGACGCCTCCTGAGTTCTAGGATGCTAAAGTGTGAGTGGGGGAAAGAAAGAATCTATGGAATACAGTAGATTCCCCAGACAAGCAAAGACCATCTGCATAAGCCTGCAGCTGCCAAGTATGTGACTTCCTCAATTTAGATGGCAAACATTTTGTCTCTGGTCATGGTAGAAGAATCGGAATTATCCATAGCACCCAGCAAATACGTATGGAGCAGAAGGCTGCCATTTTCTGGGGGCTTTCTGGGCACCAGGCACTCCACTAAGCAATTGTGAATTATTTCACTCAATCTGCCCACAACCCAGGAGGTTGATGGTGTTATTGTCCCTATTTTACAGTTGATGAAACTCTGGTTCAGAAAGTAACTTAGCTAACAAGTAGGTGAGGATCACTTGATGGAAAAGGAGAGGTTCCAGCCATTGTCCGCCCTATAGTTGTTGAGCGCAGAGTCAAGGGCATGATTCGTAAGCCAGGACCACCTGCCTCAGGCTCCCACGGTCTGGCTATACATGAAGATGACACGTATGGAACCAACAGACGATAGGATGGCCTACAACTAGAAGCAAAATTGTGCAAGAAAAGACCAAAGTACTTCAGAGAAGAAAATAGTTTGGGGGTAACAAAACAAAGTTTCTTGAGAGCTCAGAGGGTTTAAAAAGGATTTTAATAGCCAAAGCAGGAAGAAAAATCTAGTCCTTGTAAGGGGAGCTAAATGAGTGAAAGCACTCATTTGTCTCTCTGTGGTAACTTCGGATGGGCTGTTTTAATATTTTTTCCTCATTGACTTTCCTCCCGCAATGTCTAGCCATTTTTAAAACACCGTAGGTCCTGTTTCTGCCGTAAATTCCGAGTGAGATATGAATGGGATTTTATTTTGTGGATTTTTAAAAACTCCACAGACTTTTTCTGTACTTTCCCGAGTATGTAAAATATTTAGCTAATTTCCCTCAATTTTAGAATTTTTCTTTTCTACGCTTGTGAAAGGCACAGGGTGGCATAATAACCATTAATTTGCAGTTGTGCAATTAGACAGCGTTCTTGTTAGTCAAAATGTCAAACATTTTTCTACGGGTACCGCTTTGCAAATCAGCTTTAGTTTCCAAATTATGGCCAGTTTCTAATTCAACATTCCCCTTTACCTCCATTAAATCAGCAGATTAAGATTTTAAAATATGGACAAGGTGATTATTTGCTTTTGTGAAAAAAATAAAGAAAATAAAACTTATTACGACCCTTCCTATGGGAGAGTACTATTTGATTGGCTGGTTGCCACATCTCTCCAGGGAATAATGGGGTGGAAGGTAGCTATGACGGTCCAGCGATAAATTTGTATGCACTCC